CACGTTCAGGTGCACTGCGGTGTTCTCCCATTACTCTTGTGGTTTTGTTTAACCTCCTGCATCCTCCAGAAAGATACTTAACGGCAGGAGGAGAACACAGCAGAGGGTATGCTTTCTCCATACAGACGTAGCTCTTCCAGCGCACAACCACCACTGCTCCTGAGGTCCAGGTGGCAGCTCCACAGCCGTGATCAAACCCCTATGCAAAGGCGCAGCCATTTCACTCCATTATTGCAGGACAGTCAGGTGCAAGGCAAGGTATGTTGTATTAAAAACAGCAGTATGGATCATTTATATTTAATAGAGCAGGGAGACCTTGAAGCTGGTTAAGGCATCCTTATTTGTTGCAGTTGCATACCCTGCTCTACAAGGTGCTGAGAGACAGAAGGCCAGTAGCTTTAATAAAAAAGAAAACATCCATTATCATATACTGATACGACGTTTCCAGGCGCTCTCTCTATATCTTACTCTAAATCTCATTTATGACTAGGGAGAGCTTTCCTGATGTGCACACAAATCCAGGTAGCTTGAGCTCTGCCAGAAAAACCACAAATTCAGTAGGACCCTGCAGGGGATTGGTTGAAGTCCCAGTGATTTAATCAGCCAAGTAAGTAAATTATTTAAATTATTCATTTAACATACCTGATTACAAGAGAAAGCAAACGCTGATCATCTTTCACCATTTCTGGGGACCAACCAAAAGAAATTACCATTTTAAGAGGTTTGGAGTTAGAATTTGGCTTAAGAATGTGATTCCAGCTAAAAGACCAATGCTTTGTCAGAGGGCAGGAGCCATGTATCTACTTCAGTAAAAAATACACTCTTTAGAGCCTGTTAAAAGTGGCAATCACAACCTCCAACTGATCCAGCACATTTGTTAATACCTGCAGAGAGGCTATAAGCTTCCCAGCACCCTGATACACAGTACAGATGATACCGCAGGTCACCTGGAGTTCTGCTCCCACATCATCAGGTTCACTTCAAAGCCTCAAGAGGAACTGGCAATCGGGATGTCAGTCATCACCTAGCCAAGAATCATTTTTCTACAGGAGAGCTCATCATACCAAGGAACCCACACAAGATACAATTAAATAATGTCACTGCTAGACAGATTAAAATTGCAGCTCAATAGAGGAACTCACTGTTTCTAAGCAATTTCATAAACTAAGTATGTTCTGGCAGAGCTTCTCTGGAAGGTATTAGCAGTGATCCAAACACTAGGACCTAGCAAATTTCTTGGGTGAAATCCTGCCTCCATTAGAGCCAATGGCAAATCTCCCAGGCACTTCTACACAGCCAGAATTCTAATTTCTCATGCCAGCTGCAACACACTGCTATGGCTTTGGGCAAACAACACTAATGCAACCTCCCCAGTTATAAAAATGGGCCACTAACCACTGCTCTTGGAGATACTGTGAAGGATTCACAGAAGTACCTCAAACAGAAAAGGGCATTACCAATCAGTGCAATTTGGCAAACGGGCTACTTCAGCAACTCACCATCGGGGACGTTGATCCACTGATACAAGTTGAAGTTGATCCACTGATACAAATATCAGGCTTGCAGGTTCAGCAGGATGAATCTCTTGTCCTGTGGCAGCCTGCTAAAACTATCATGTGTATGAATTCCAAGCACAGAAGACCGGCCCAAGCTCTGATGCAATTCCCTCTCTCAGGACTGCAAGATGACTGTCTTCATTACTTTGTTATTTTGGGAATTGTATTTGGATGATCCATAATGATCTTATCTACATCAAACGCCAGCTATGTTCTTTTGCAGGCAAAGCATGCATGTGAACAGTTGCCTTCACAAGTCTGAGATTAACAAACCCACACTGCTACACAAATGCACATGCTAACTCTGGATAACGTACACATTTGTTTAAAATTAATTCTGGGGTGTTCTTGCAAATAAGTTTTATGGCTGTATGAGGAGAGGCTATAAAATGAGATTGGGATCCCTGGTAGGTGGCATGTTACATTTTTTTAAGAAATATTATTCCTCCCATATAAATACACAACAGATGTAACATTCGACCTAAGCAATAAGATTTATTACTATTTTTAAAGCAAATTCAGCACAGCTTAAGAGAACACTGTACAGAATTCTTTAGGCTAGGAAGAGGTTCTTCTTGTCATCGATGCATGTCTTCCATTTGTCAATTCTTGCCCTCAAAGCCAACCCACAGTTTAGCATTTTAGGCTTCTTACAAAGGTGGTGATCCTGCAATTCAATCTGCTAACATAGCACATGGTGGTCCCCCTCCTCTAGTCACTGCAGGTATGGGCTCATATCTTTGCTTTTAATATCAAAAGAAATCTGCATGGCCTCTTTGCTCTCTTTTTGAGCCCCAAAAAATTCAGGTGATTTACATTAAGCATACTACCACCAGCACATCCAATCAAAGCCTATTTTCACACATTGTTTGGCAATTACAGCTGTGTTCAAAGAATGGAGTCCTCTTATATTGACTTACATTCATTTCTTTACCTCATGCATTTTTATATCTATATTGTTTCATATTTTCTTCAGAGGCCATAGGTCTTCTGTCTTCTAAAAATAACTTGCCTCTGCATAGTCTTCTAAAGTCAAAGTGCTGTTCTTCCTTTTGTTAAGTTCATTTCTGTGCATATGCAGAAAGTAGTAAGAGAGGGATATGTGCAACTTTACTAACAAATGTGTTGAAAATATCTAAAAATGAGGATCAATTCTTGGATAAACACCTTCAATGTTAAACAGTCCTGTGAAAAATCAATAGGCCTACATGTCGTGTAGTAATTCTGTATTTTGTGTAAGGGCAAGAAACCTGAAAATGAGAACATACCTGATCATAATAAGAAAATACTAATTTTTGTTGCTCAACAGCTTCAAGTACCAAGTCATTTTTCAGCTTGTGCATTTCACTTCATCTAACATAATCCTGGATGGTCCAGCAGGCAGACCATGACCAACACTCTCCATTCACCTCAGGTGAATCCTGGAGCTGACACTGGGGCATTCACATTGGGGAAATCAATGCATCTGAAAGTTCACCTCCTGCCCCACTATGCACGTAGCCAAGCACTTAAAATGGTGAACCTCTACACAGACTATGAAGAGAATATTAATGTATCACTTTCACCTCATTTTTCTGATACGGGTAACTACCAGCTTGTAACCAAATTGCTTTCTGATCCCAAGATCAAAGAGTCACACCACATTTGGGACTGCCTGAGAAGTCAAGCACATTCTCTTCCTGGAGAAAGGCATTGGACAAAGTTCTTGGACGCTCCTCTAGAAGATCCAGGCAAAACCTGGAACACTGCAGATCTGAGATCATACCAAACACATGACCTCAATTTAAATGGATGCCTTCCCAATTCCTACATCATCACAGATACAAATGCCTGCAGATTCTCTTTGAACTGCTCTTCCCCAAAAGTAATTAGTTGGGGAGTGGCTGGTCAGTTAGCTCCCTAGCTGTACAGCACTTCAGGCAGCCATTTGGTAGAAAGCATGCTGGCAATCTTCAAGAAAGCCTGTAAATCCCACTGAGTGTCTCCTGTTGGTGACTGCACATCAGCCAAGACAAGAGGATTCTAGACTTTTTAAAGAGATGCATCTGTTCCTGCCAGAGAAAAATCACATTAAGTCTTTACCTCTCACCAATGCTTTCATATTCAGGGTACTGACATCCATACAGATGTTGCATATTTTATTTTAAAGGTATCTGACTGCAAGAGCATTTGCAATGAATATTACGATTAGATCCACAGGCCAAGGAAGCTTCTGCCTGTCTAGTGCAGAAGCACTGCTTTAGTTCTCTTTTAGTTTACACTGGCTTTGTTTGGTTGGTTTTACAAAAGCAACAGCAGTGGAAGAGGTGTCAAAAGCAAGCAGCTTGGCCTGTTCATACATCAGCTTTATGCTAAAGCCTTCTAGTATCTGCAATAGTGTCTGGCTTCCTTTAACACACTGAGAACATTAACTCTACTGTATCACATCCATCTGGGGTAAGATTTGACATTCAAGAGACAAGAAGGCTATTTTCATTCATAACATCAAGAAGTCCTTAGCCATACCTGCTGTATGCTTTGCTGCAATGAGGGAAACATGATTCTCTGTCCACCTGTAAAGATACAGAGTCTCTTGGACTTGAAGAATGTGCTCAGTCAGAGGCGGAGATCCTTGAAGAACTGACCACCAGACTGTCAAACATTATCAAAAGCCTGACAGGGGCATATCTCAGAACTGGGACTGGGTACTCCATTACATAGTGCATTTTTGCCTACCCTTTGAGAAAACTTTAGTACAAGGTGAGGGGATTTCAAAGTACCCATATTAAGAAGTAAATCACAGAAAAAACTCCTCTCAAATCGCAGACACGAGTGAGGGGTTATTGTAGTTCATTGTTTAAGCTTTACCTTTTCAGGTATCTTGAATATCCCCTGAAATAACTGGTAACATAGTGGTTGGCAACAGGAAGAAAAAAGGTTCAAAAATATGCTGGAAACAAAGGATAGTTAATCATTCATGTAGCCTACAAGTCCTTTGGCTCACAAGAGTCTGAAAACAGACTCTTGCTCTATAGTAAAAATAAAAAAAATTAAATCCTCTACTGTCCTACCTTCTCTCCTCTACAATGTATGATGGAATCCAGAGTCACAGCCTGCCTGGACTTCATAGGCAAGAGTATGTTCTACAGTGGTTCACTTCATGCCTTCCTGAAACACCGCAGGCAGCCTTTCCCCTTAAAGAAGAGAATCTCACAGTCACATTTTGTGTAACATTCTTTAAATACCTTGACTTACACTCCCAGAGCACATTTGTTTCAATCAGACTGTGCACACAGGGGTTTTTTTGAGGGTCGGTTGGGTTTTTTAGCTTTTTCTTTAGCTTGATATTCTGCACTCTTTCTGAAGCTGGCCACTTTGATTAAAGATTTTGCTTTGTTACAAAACCAAACAAAGTACTTCAACTTTGAAAGAGAGCAAGCAAAAAGAAGGAGCCAAAACATGTGGTGATTCTTATTTTCCTTTTAAGAGTGACAAAACAGCATATGCAATTCAACACCCAAGATCAGTTGATTTTATCTGAAAAAGCAGTTTATCATGTAAGTTAACATTTGCTGTGATTATAACCTACACAATGCAAATTTCCTATGTAAAGCCCCCCTGGTGCCCATGTGAGTCACCTTCACACTTTGGGAACATGGGCATGGGGCAACACGGGTCACAGGTTATCAGCCTTTGTTTTATTTTACAATACATTCATGATTTTCTGCAATTCCAACAGCAAATACATCATGCTTGGTTGGCCGATGCTGGTATCTGATATTCCATGATTACCTTGGCTTCAAAGTGAGACAGTAATGCACATTTTTGTTACTCTCCCTTTAATGTAGTACAAAGCTGGACACAGCGCAGAAAGAAATCCCTAAAATCCATTACCCATTTATGATCATGTACAAACGGATATTTATCATGTTAAAAGAGAACCATATGTTAAAGTGGAGGCTAGAGCCCAATAAATCTTTTTGGATGAAATCCCTTTTCAAAAAAAGGAATAAAATAATTAACAGTTGCTTTTGCCAGTAGAAACATTTGCTCATGAATCTCCTGGGAAGGTAAGGGCATTTAACCTTTTTACATGCCATCCCCTCAGACATCTCTGACCCCCACTGCCAAATAGACAACAAAGATTCCCGACTCCACGCTGCTGATTAAACCCCTTGTAAGAAACATCTGGATGAAATTTTCTTGGCAGTTGATTTGAAAAGTATACAAGAAGCAGAACTAGGGAGCAGCCATAGTTCAGCTGAGTGACACAAAGATGATGCTATGCAAAAGCAGATTTTTCCTTGAACACATTAACTTCTAAATATTAGTTTGTGACTGTGCAAGTGACCTCATTAGCAGAAGAAAAATAAAACCCTTTTCCACTCTGCATGCTAATGTAGAGAAGGCAAATGGACTCTGAAAGAAACCCAACTCAACAATCTCATTTTTAAAAATAAAATAAAGGGCTTAAACAGTTTACTTGCCTAATACTTAACTTTAATTGTCAGGTAAGAGCAAAGTTGTTGTCCCTAACTTCCAAAAAACATTTCTCAAATTTGTGAAGGATTTCAAAACTTCCATGGTTTCTGAGAAACTCACCAACAAACTGGATATAATGCCTTCCTCCTGTTTCAGTCAATACACCTCCAGGCTTAAATTAACAAGAGTGACCTGTAATTTTCATGGCTTGATGTTCAAAGTAAAGGATGTCCTGGCGCTCTGCTGCTTAAGCTTAAAGAGCCTGCCCAATGCAGCTCAATATATTGTTTTGGAAACACAGACCCTGGAACTCTCAGAGTTTTCTGTATGTACAACGGATCTAGAAGTGAGAAATCTTCATTGTTGCTATTAAGTGAGTAGCAGCAACGGAAAGAAACGCATTGGGGAACCTTCTGCCCCACAGCTGCCAGGCTGAGAAAATTCCAAGAGATGGGGCAAGGAATGGGCAGAGACACTTTGGCCTTTTTCAGACGTCAAGGCGAAGAGGGCTTCAGATTTATCTGACTGAATTATAATTACTCTGACATATAAAAAATTGGAAGCTTCAGCACAGTGCAAGGCCAGCAATCTGTTATTTCCTATAGTTGTTGAAAATTTGATGGGGTATGGGAAGGGTTTTGACTTCTCAGTTGGGGCACTGCTCTAAAGAAATACTTTATCAATATGCATTTATATTCCTTGTAAGTATTTTTAAGTCATACAGAAATTAACATATAGAGATAAAATCTGGCCTAAACATTTCATCTCCAATTCAAACTTCACATTCTACAGCACCCCTACTTATTTTGTCTACATCACTGTTATCCCAACAGATCTAAAGGAGGGCCACCTATTCAAATTAGTACTGCTATCAGTTTCTCACTAAATGAACATATTCACAAACACTTCATTATAGGTGTTTCAATTTATGAGAAACCACTCTTTGAAATTTAGGGAAAAATCTGGCAGATAATGAAATTTCAGCGAAGGACAAGAGCAGCCAAATGGAATGCAGATCAGAAATTCCATCACAATTCATTGCAATTGTAAGAGTAAGAAGGAATAAGTTTGGAGCTGTTTTTCTTCTAGTGAGATAAAACACTGTAAATATTTTGTACCACATTATTCAGTACTACCACTGGAATGGTAATGAATGAATAAAAACAGAAAAGAGGTTTATAAAATCCCAAGTAAAATCCAATATTCATCAAAAATACTGGAAATAAAAAGTTGTCATGTAGAACATCTACATGCACAGGCAATACCACTTGTCCAGCCAGGAGGTAATATCAATGTAGATTTAGGGTAGCCACCTGCCACGCGTTCCACAGTAACTCCAGGGAGTTGATTTCATAGCTAAGAGAGTATTTTAAGATTACTGCATCAAGGGAAAATCTGCAATTTTATTAAGACTCTTTGATGTAACCAGTGTATGCTTTGCAACTCCAACAGACACCTTCCTCCACACATTTGGTCTGCACCAAACAGGGAAGATGAGATAATATTCAGAATCCAGCAATGTGTATGCAATCAATGAACAATTAAACCAAGTAGTAAAAAGCCGGTGACAGGAAAACATGGAACCAAGGCTTACAGTGTATCAAGAAATGTCCTTACACTTAAAAAATTATAATGCACTCCAAAATCCATTTGTTCAGGCAATCCATGTACAACAGAAGGCACTGTTATCCATATGAATCTATCAATTCTGCACAGCAAAAACCTGAGAAGTGCAACTCAATCAGATGCAGCCTGGCCCCTCCCAGTCATTCAGGTTCCTTGAGGACAAATGTTTCCTTTCAGTCCATCAGATTATCAAAACACCACAAGAATTTGTACATTACAGTAGCTGGTTAGAAAGAGCATTCTGGTGGGGGAAGCACACTGCTATTTTCCAGAAAACCTTCAGCAGCATTAAATTACTCTCCCCTATCTCTCAGAAGTCATGATGATGTCAAGAAAATGTAATGATGAGACCCTTCCCAATGACCATTGTTGTAGTTGATCCTTCAGTTGCCACCAGGAGTACTTCCAGCAAAGTTAAAGGCTGTGATCAGTCCTTTGTTGTCAAATGTGTAGTCACTTTCTTGTTCTATTGTCTTAAGTCTCTAGAATTCAAAGAGGGGAAAGGATATGAAATATAGTCTATAAAGAATGCTTTTGCCAGAGACAACACAGCTCAGCTAAGAATGCAACGTTGTGGAAAAAAATCTTGGTTGAGTCAAAATTTCATTCCCTAAACGAAGTGACAGTAATAAATTACACCCAGATTTTCTCTAAATGCATAAACACACACACTGCTAGACCAAAGCTGAGAAATGAATCCTCTACAGAATCAGTCTGTTACACTATGCTGTGTGCTTTTTGGTTAAATCTGAATTTATTTTCCATGATGCAAGATTTCTAAACACCTAAAACCTTACACTGGCTGTGAAGGCAACATCAGCAGTTAAAAAGTTACAAAACTGTTAAACACATAATAATCTCCAGTAATCTTCATCAAATGCCTGGCTGACAGCTAGATATTGCCTTAATTTCCTCTTTATTCCAAACATCAGATTATGCAAAACTAGTTTGTACCCAGTTCAAACAGCAGCACGTGTTAATGAGAAGGCAACCAACTAGAAGCAAAAGTAGCCTCTCTGAATAACACACACTTCCAGGCAAGGGATAATATAAGCTCAATATCCTACTCACGCTTCTCAGGAAATGTTAATTAGCACAGAGATTTATTCTCTCTGTTGTTGTTACAGGTTAGATGCAGTTCCAACATCCCTGCAACGGATAAAATGGCCCCAGAGAAGTGACTCACCTGCAGCATTTCGCCGGTGTTCTGCTAATGTATGGATTTCCTGCAGCTGCTTCTTCTGGTCCTCACTCAACAGCGCTGTCAGCGAATGGTACCAGGCTGCATCCCGGCTCTGCACCGCTGTCACAACAGGAAAGGATGAAAAGTGGTTATCAAGTTACACTGCAAGTTAATTTCAGAACAAAATCAAACAGATGGAATCCCTGGTTGGTTTTAAAACAGAGTTTGCACCACAGAACAGGTTCAGTGTTCCTGTCGGTTTTCTTAGCACAGCAACCCCACTGTAAAGAGGCAATTCTGGGGGGAACTTAATTACATCCTCTGCTTTCTGAAACAGAAAGCTACCCATGTGGCCATTATTCATGGACAATGATGAAGTGAATCTTCTAATTTAAAACTCATATCAAAACTAAAAGCAACATGATTAAGAGAAAATAATTTCTCCATTATGATTTTAACATCTAGAAAGTGACAAATATTTCTATATACAGGAGTCCCTCTAGTGACCGAGTCCCACTAATTTAGGTTGCGTTTGAGAAGTTCTGAAAGAGAACATGAAGAAAATGAATCTCTGGCTGTATTTGCTACCATTTCTTTTTTTGCAGTACCTGTAAGCCAAAAAATCTTAGGATTAACATTAGAAAGCAAGATCACATTTTCCAGTTTCAATAATCTAAATTACTGATCCTAACAAAGAAAAGGGTTTTTCCCAGTGATGAATCTCCAAACGATTTCATCATGGCTGTATCATTCTGCCAACTAGTAAATACATACCTAAAAGTGCTTGTGTAAAAAACTGGTATTCATCAACACCATTTTCAAGGTCAAGAGGTGTGCTGAACCCTTCAAGAGCAGTCTCTTCCAATGCCTCTTCATCCCAGTCATCATCATCATCGTCTTCATCTTCTTCCTCACCACCTCCACCACCATCACCACCTCCTCCTCCACTATGTTTCTCCTGCGCTGCCAGGCTCAATTCATTTGTCTCCTCCTCATCGCTTGGTATCTCTTCTGCAAAAGCATTGATGTGTTTTGTAAAACAAAGTTTAAAAAGTATAACAAAACAATGACTTATGAATGAAGAATAATTGACAAGTCTAGGTTTTGGCTGGAAAGAGGACTCTCTGTTAACACTCTTCCCCCCCAAAATCTTAGAAGAATTGGATAAATGAGGCTGTTAAAATGCTTCCTACATTCAAGATCAGTTAAACTTTTGTTTCTAAGCGCACCTGGGGAACGTGAAACTGCAATCTTTTTTCTTCTTTCATTTATGCAGTCATTGTGCAATTATAGGACCTGAAAATTTTGAGCAAATGTGTCTTTGCCAAAGTGCTCCACCACTGTGCTTTTTAGATTATGAACACAGACTTTCATAGACTTCCCAAATTGGTACAAAATAAAGAGAAAACCAGATGTAGACCAATAGTCTGCCTGCTGTTCTTCAGAGGGCTCCTTTATTTGAACAAACTTAAAATAGCATCCTCTGCTTAGCTTAACCTTCCATTCTGCTTATGAAACAACTATTACATCCTGAACTAAATGCAACTCCTACATGCCATTCTAAACACTGCTATTTCTTCAGGAAAAATATTTCTGATTTACAGTCAAGATTAAAAAAGTCCCCCTCCAATTCCATACCTTCAGCTCTTCCTGTGTTAACAGTTTAGAAAGAATAAAGATGATTGTATCTGCAACAAGCAGGGACGGAATCAAAGGAGAGAGATTTGAAAATTACCGTGCTGTTTCCATACTGTAATCCTATGCACGGAAAAGAATTCTGTAATTCCATTATGGAACAATCATGTGTGAAATTTGAGTGGATTACATAATCTGCTTACATCCAATCTAATTTTCAGACCTCAAACTATCTATCTCCTGTTCCAAGTCCAAGTACAGCCACACTTAACTGCCTGCACTGCTGTGTAAAATTCACTCCCCACAATTCCCTCCACAAGCTATTCTTTGATGTTTCTTCTCTTCTGGCAGACACAGCAGTTAGAGGTCTGCCTACTCCAGGAACCTCAGCTGTCTCAAACTCCACTTTGCAAATCCCTTTCCATTTGGGCAAAGAAGACTTGCTAGGATTTCCTTCAAAGTTCAAGCAAACAAGTCCTTCAAACAGTTGAGTACTAGGAACAGCTTTCCAGGAATCAAGAATATAACCAGTGCAGTCCTGGCAACCTCCTGCTGCCTACGTGAGAGGACAGAGCACATTCACAACTCAAGTTTTATTGTTACTCTTAAACCAATACTACCCTTTCACAAAGTATTATACATTGAAACGTTTTGATTACATTTTGGGAGAAAATATCAATTCCTAAAATGACAAGCACCCAGTAAGCCGAGCTATTTCCAGCAGAATAATGAGTCTTAAAAATTAACTGCAATTTCTCACCCCCTTTCAATTAAATCACACGTGAAAAGGAGACACTTTACCATTATCTTCTGCAACTTGTTTTTCACGTTTAGCATGATCTTCATGTTCTGTGAGTTCTCGTGAGCTGCGAACTTGTTTTAAGCCCAAGAAGAGGAGGAGGATTGAAGGGACAATCTGGGCAGCCACAGCATCCACTGTAGGTGGTCGGTTCTGCAATTCCAGTAGGATGCTCAGTCCTATTATACACATCTTTCTGTCGTGGCGCCTGAAACAACACACACTTGTTAGACAAAAAACAGATTTTCACTGCAAGGACATGTAGCGTCCTGGCACTTGACATGGCAGAAGACAATGTCACAGAGACCACGTTCAAAGTCTGTGTTTGAAGCTCCCACACATATTATTACCTTTGCTCTGAATGCAAGTTCCCCACTGGAAAGTCCTTGTCCAGTAACAATTAAACACCTTTCAAGCACTAGTCAAATTTCTGGAACAACTGTTTCTGATTACCAAATGCAAAGTTTGTAATGCTAAATAAATACTGCTTAATGATTATGTAGAATATCTTGTCTTTAATAAAGCACTTGATACAGATTATCATCATTAAATAGGATGGAAAATTAATTTGCCTTGGCTTCGACAGCAGTACTGTTGCAGGGACTGAAATTAGCAAAAAGACTATTAGAGAAGAATAATGATAAGCAGGAATGTACTGAATTGCAGGGTGCATTTATGGAGTGCCACAGGGCTGGCTTTATTTAAACACATTTATTAAGAGTCCATCAGAATGGCTGTATTATACACCCAATTTCCAACACTAACTTGAGACACCGTGCTAACTCCAGTGAAAGCAGGGAAATAATTCCACTGTGCTGAGAATAACTGCCAGTAGACTCAAACAAGGAACTTGCAAATGAGTAGACCTCCAGTAAAACAAACAAACTACGGATAATTCAAGGGAAATAAAATAATTAAATTAGTAGCAGAAAGATTTTTATGTGACCATAGCCAGGAAACAAGCGAAGAGTCTGCACTCTTAAAAATAAAAATTGATTTTCACTACCAGAAATAGAAGTTATTTGCAAACAAGACAGGGAAAAATTCTTTAACTGCCTCTCCAGATACTTTTTGGTTCTCCTTTACTGGAAACACCAGTAGTATTCAACTCTTTTTTAACATTACGGTGTTTTGCTATTATGGGTTTGAAAGGCTTGTTTGAACTATTCAGTTTGACGCTGACAACTTCTGTGCAAGCCTTCTGCAGGGCAAGTAGTTCCAGCAAGGGCTACGGAACCCACGCAAACCTCCAGAGCTGGCAGAAAATGGCCATCCCCCAGAGTCTCAGCAGACACCTCCATTACTGAATCAGTTTTACTTTGGAATGAAGAGGATACAAGTTGAGAGAAGAAACTAATGAGATGTGCCCTACAGACTGCAATAAAGCTTACAGGGGAACAGCCAGTGGCTCAATCCACCACTTCACAAATTGCTACAGAAATACAATTTTAAAAGTGCTTACAATTTCATTACCAGAGATTCCATATAAAGTGCTACTCAATGATATTCTTTAGGTAATACATGTATTGGAGCTTTCTGAACTTTACATGTGCTTAAACAAGACTGGGGATCTGGGGGGATTTCATTACACCTCCCACGTTGTTCCTCTTGTTAGGGCTTAGTGAAGTGATTCCATTCTCAGAGGAGCTGACAACAACCATAAATTATATATGACCATGCATTACGTTATGATCACAGAAGACCATCCAAGAAAAACAAAGTAAACTAGCAGATCAAATGACACGCTTTGTCAGGCTGGGTTTGGCTGCTCCATTACACGTGTTGAAAAATGTACCAAAATTCAAGTAGGCAAAGAGCGTCCTTCCATAACTACTCACTGCAACACTTTATTTTCAGAAGGCATGGGGTACAAAAGAGGGTATACAAACCAAGCAAAGGAACTGAGTGAGGTGAACAGGATCTGCTTTCACCAAAACCAAAAATTAAACTCCTTACTCCTGTCAGTTTATCTATGTTGAAAACAAGCTCATCGCCATTCGCTCTCATGCCAACACTGTGAAGATCAAAATCCAAGCCAACGATGATGCTACCCATGAATGAAGCATAGGTTTTCTGGGAGAGTTGTCCTTACTGCAAGTTCAAAAGGAAAGAACTTTCTCTACCCCCTTCTTGTTCAAGTCTGGCCAAAGCTCTGTAATTTCTGCACAAGACTTCTACCCTGCATCTTGACATTGGGAAGCCATGAAATGTCTTCAGGTCCTAAATGTATAATGAAGCAATTTCAGGGTACCTGTGCCAGAGTAGTTAATGACACTTGGCACTACCTTTTATAATATATTTGAAAAAGCTACCATTACACAATATCAATTGCAAAATGCAACACAGTAAAATATAAAAAAATCTTAGTAATTAGTAGCTTGGCTTCATACTAAACTATCTTTTCTGGACAGCAAGCGAAAGTGCAAGAATCAAGCACTGCTGTTTAAAAGGGTGTCATCATTAGGAAGAAGCCCAAATGGCCAAAAATACAGCACATTTGTCATGCTCCATTTTCAAGCTTCTAAACAGAGAAGTTGTTAGAATGAACACATGTCTTCCGAATATGCATGTTATTAGAAAGCCCAACAGGACAGCAGAAATCCAGGCATCAAGCCATCTTTAATGAACCCGAGCCAGAAGGAGACTTGTTTCCTCCACCTGCCAGCAGAGACAAAGAGCAGGACAAGCATCTGCCTTGCCTGAAGTTCAGCATTTTACTGTGCCCCAGATGTATGAAGTACACACAGGACTGAACAAGCAAAACGGGAGTTTTATGTCATTTACATATTTTTGTAACAGCAAAGAATGGTTCCAGGACCGTTCCTTTGCTTTCAAATGGCTCGTTATTTCAGTACCCTTCTGTCTGCTTGAGGGAGCCTGGATAAAATTCTCCTCAGTGCTTTGTCCTTGGAGATCCCTATTTATTTGCTCAGCAGCACAGAATGGTCCTCCCTAACAATCACCAACTCTGCTTGCTCCCTCAATGGTATATCAAGCCTGGAGTGCTAAACATGCAACCCATGGCAGTGCAGTGCATAACTCCTAAGCAAGTCTATTTTTAACAAGCTGTGTGTGGTCTTATAATCTGCAGAACCTTTTCTTGCTAATACACTTCCTTCCAATACAGGACAAAAAGGTCTAAGAATCTGCTGTATTTTAAATTGAGCTGAAAGGATTTCAAAGGGAAATCGCTGAGCCTTTCCTTCACTGGGTTGCTGTGCTCCTTTATGTGAGGATCAAGTTGCTTTCTATTACATCAATCCAGTTCCTGGACAAACTGCAAATAATTAGCCATTTCCTTCTAGTTGCGAAGTTGGAACCAACCCTGTTTTCCTATATAAGATTGGGATTTTATATACAATTCTGAGAAAACTAGAATTTCAAACTATTTAAACTCCTATCAAATAAACCCCCCTGGCTTCTTAAAAAAAATAAAGTCACTTACTTAGGGGTTTGTCTTTGAAGCAAGTTAGATTTTCCTTTCACCCTAGTTTCCACAGAAGAATTTTTAGTATGAGAGTAAGCATAAGTCATGCAGAAGTCTCACTCAAATTTCAGGCTGTCAGGGAAAAGGTGGAAAGCAGTAAGGAACAAATGTTCCTACAAACAGCTTTTCGATCTTTCACTCTTATTCAATTTGAAGTTATTGTAGAAAACATTTAGAAATAAATAAATACAATATGCTGTGATACATGGGCTATAAGGGCACACAGTCACAGATACGTAATATCCAAAATGAGAGACTGGATTTATGCACAGTTTTACAATGAGTTCTGAGCTCTCCTTGCCTGGGTCATTTTTAACAGTCCAAATTTCTAATCAGTTTTAAATATTTTCCCTATTTTTAATAACATGGAAGAACAGCTCCTTAGCTTACCACAAATGCTTTTCCCCCTGAAGATGTATCATTCCCATGGGTCCCATCTCATGTGTTCACAAGTGCTGCTCAAGAAATACTGCATTCTTTTGGCAAACATGGTTGAGTCCAGCCTGAGAGCATGCAGACACGCACAACCCTACTGCTGGCAGAGCAGGACCTATGGATACTAGGACTTCACAGGAACAGAGGAAGGACAGAGGGGTGTGAGATTTCTGTGAACAAAGCATCTTGAAGAGCCACTGTTACCAGTAAGTCACAGATTTCCTGTATGGCTGACAAGGAAATGGCAGTAAGATGCACCTGGTCCTTCACACCTGGAGGTGGACCTTCTTTGACCTTCTCCAGTTTCTCTAGGATCTGTGAGTCTTACAATTGATTTCAATTTAAGCCTAAAACTGCCTCCTGATGGAAAGCAATCTAACTGTAAACCAACACAGCAGTGAATGACGGGGAGAAAAAAGGATTGTTCAAATCAGAGTGCCCACTGCTGTCTTCACTGATGAAGACATGAAGTCTGCAGGGGCGGATCCAAGGAAGGGTTTCAAGAAAGCCAGATTTTGTTTGCATTTCTGTCCTTTCCTGTTCGGTTGGGACTCTGAATATCTGGCTGCTGTTCAGAGGATGACCCTTACTACCCTTACTAAAACAAATGGTCTTCTAGAAGCAGTGCTGTCCCAAGGAAAAGGAAGTCCCTTACACCACATCACAAGCAGTACTATAGCAAAACCCCTACACCTGGAAGCCACATACTGAGGAAACAGCACTGAAGGAAGAGTGATTTTTAGATTTAAGCAATCCTACAGATATTTATTTCGCTGCTGATAGCAGAAGATCAAAGAGATACCTTTTAATCTTCTATTACTGTTCAAGTGCAGAGTCTGAGGACAATCTGGCATCATGATCTCTGTGTTTCATTTTCATAGACTTTGTCTACTTTTGTCTCAGCTCTGATGAAGAATTTAGTTGAATAGCAGTTGCAGTAGCTGATGCTTTTCGAAAAGCAACACAAAAGAACTGAAAGTTAAGCTGTAGCTCACAGGAGTACTTGAGGTTGGAGCCTAGTCACATCTGCATCTTTTTTCCCCTCTGGATCTAACTGGTTTCTCACTGAATGCTCCAGGATGAACTGCTTAAAGCTATAAATCTCTTTCATTTGTTATTTATTTAAAAAAAGGAATGACAAGCTTACCACCTATGGGGAATATCTTCTTTCATACTGTCTCTGTATGCATTCAGCATTTGATGTGCAGAAGAAAAAATGCCAGCACAAAGAGCTGAATCTCAAGAACTTTGCTTCAGCCATAAAAAAAAAAAATCAGTACATGGAAATCCTAAAACTTTGCTTCAGCCATAAAAAAAAAAAATCAGTACATGGAAATCCTAAAATGTCTTGCTTTTTTCTAAAGGTGGTAGATATAAAAATAATTTACTAATTAATAATAATATTCCAAGTGGTGTTGAAGAGGTAGACTTAAAGGCACCCTTTTTCAGCCATTGGCACTCCAAAAGAAATGAGGGACATCGGGTCCTTTATGCCTTTGTCACTGACTCAAGTAACCCCTCTAAATTGGTAAGATACGCATCTTAAGATACAGGACATACTACAAACGTTTCATATACACAGCAGGTAGAAAAAGTCAGAATGTTTGTGATAATATGAACTGTCCATTTTTGTTATAAGGAATAAGATTTCCCCCCTCCCCTTTTTATCTATTTAATTTAGTACTTTTAATTTGTTTTTTCTTCAAGGAGAGACTGTTATGGCAGTACCTTCAAATACAGACATGAACAAGGGATCTGCACAAAGCCTGTATGCATCAAAACAGGCAATTTCTCTTGTATCTCCAAGTGGTTTTCATTCCAGTAAAACAGTCAGAATTAACATGCAGACCTGAAATAAGGTAGTCTATGCTGCAATTCTACAAACTACTGTGCTTTAATCCTCATCCCACTAAATTGTGTGCTTAGGACAGAGTAGGGTGGAAAACAATCTTTACTGTGTACATTTGGTATGTGTGTTTTAAAAATATGCTGAGCATTTTTATTTTATTTTATTTTTTTATTTTATTTTATTTTTATTTTTACAGCAAAGTGTGCTGAGAGCAAAACCCGCTTATGCCAGTTGGTCACTGATTGACTGGGAGTCACTGTCTTATTAGAGATAAGAAAAAGTTAACACAGTGCTATAACGCACCACACAGTTCTAAACTGAGGCAGTAACGCAGCTATACCAAGATGGCATATAATTCTGTTCAAAACAGATAAACTCAAATAAGAATTGGCATGGAAAAAGCTACTTGGATGACTGGGGAATGGAGAAACCATCTTAAAAGAAGCCCCCTAGAAAACTTGTTTGGAGTTGGAAAGACAAGACTGGACCAATAGAAAACCAGTAGGAAAAGAAGGGCAACCTAAAATAAGGTATGCATTTATGGGTCAGGAGCTGCCTGTCTTGGCCCATGTTCATTCACAGCACGACTCCTACCAGACTGACACTTCACTTTGTTGACACAAACTGTGCACAAAGAAGAGATGTTCTAAGCCTATCCATACACCTGCAGTCAGATGTCAGCCTCCAATGACAAAATGTAACTCATAGCAGGAAGGTGAGAGGTAGCTGTTAACCACATCTGACTCTCTGTTTTGCCCTTAAGTGGATTTGAATCTCCCAGTCAGACACCACATCTCAGCTGAGAGGCAAGCACTAACTGTTGAGCACTGGACTTCACATCTGCCCAGCATCAACTGCCCGCTTAGCTACATGATGACAGGCTTTGTCCACCTTCATTTACTTCACAAATGTTCAGCTCCTGCCCAAGTACACACCAGTGCAGTGCTCACACACGTTCAAGAGAGGTTGGAATGAAATTTAAGAGTATGCTGAACAGTCCGTACACCAATGGTATAATGATAAATATGCAAAGCTGATCATGAACAACTCACAGGGATTAAAATCAGAGTGTGGGATTCATTGGACAGAATTTTTTTTTTTCCACATTAAATGGATCAGTTAAAAATACTTTTTAAATATAAAAGAGAAAATATGTATACGTTGTGTTTCATTAAAAAAAGTTAGCATCTCACTGAAATCCTGCTGGTCAGCTCTGAACATTACCTTCAATGCATGCTGGACTATCTCTTGGAGAAGCACAGAGTTTGTGAATCAGGAACTTAAAAGAATTCTGAAATACGATATGTATTTTACTCTTGTATCCTCACAAGACAGAAGATTCAGCGTGTAGCTCAGCAGACCCAGGAAAGTTACATGGCCATAGGTCACCTTTACTGGCACCATAGGAACTAGACCTGGTGTGGGTTACTGTTATTTAGACTAACCAAGGAGTGAGAACTCTTGCATCAACATGAGTAGAGATAACAAACAGAAGTGAACAAGAAAATCAAACCCATGGACTTTTAAAACTAAAAAACCAATGACAATACTTGCCCAAGGAAACAGTCTGTGTCATTCATCCACTGGTTTATGAACTGTGCAGTGACGGGCGCAGGATTGTGTGGAAATCTCATGTTCTCTAAGGTGTGCAGAAGTAGGTCAGGGTTGTAGTAGAGCGCAGCTATGGCAACCTGAAGACACATGGTCCGAAGCTCGCTTGTTTTAACTCCTCTGGTTAACCGCTCCAGAACTGCCTCCACAAAGAGTGGAATACACTGGGCATGTGAAGGAGAAGGAAAAAAACCACAAGATAAAACCTCAGGCATTATACATGTTGCCAGATTATACAAAAGTTTAAAATACTTTTATCAGAATTGATCTCTAGAGTTAACTGAAGTCCAGGTATAACCTGGAATGCAATCTATTCACTTCCTAGTATAAAAGCCTTTTAAGCATCTGATTACATGGTTATAAATCTTCCCCAAAAAAGCCTTCCTCTGAACTAAAAATGGCCAGTGTTATTCTCGGCATAGAGGAGAATATTTGGGGCCATTTGGTGGAATTTGTTCTAGTGCGTATAAAACATTTAGAAAAGAACTCAAAGACAGTCTTATCTTTGAATAAAGATATCCAACAATTTCAAAACTAACAGGCAGTAAAAATTAAATTACCTAAATCTGCAAGAAAAAGAAAATAAGTTTTTCCTAATAAATGTAAAATGATACTAATTTTCTTATAAAAGTTTAAAATGAATAAGTTTGTTCAGACAAAAGCAAGTAGGCACAAATTTCTACACAACAAAATAAACATTACATATATTTCAATGTGCAGGTTTATGCTTTATAATAATTTGGGAAGTGTTATGAGTGTTTTAGTTTATGAGTTTCAGTTCAGTGTACAACCATTTTAATTCACAGAGTACTGCAGCTCAGTTAATCCTTCCACCATGTACTCATTTCAATGCAAATACACACAATTCACTTTAATGTCTTCCAGATTTCTTTTTAAAATAAAATTTTTCAGGGAGTATTTTTATCTTCAGATTTACATTAGTAAAGTTGTATTGCTTTCAGTGAAATTAACTGAGTTCACTGAAGTCTCTGGATTGCACTGTGGCAACATCAAACATGGTATCTTAAAGTAATTTAGGCTGGAGTGTTATGTCGAATATAAGACCAGAATTTAGCCCTTAATTGGAAAAAGACTACTATCTAAAAGTGTGTTCTAAGAGACTTTGGAAAATTGTGATTATGTTTTTCCCAGCAATCACAATCCAGCCAAGCTAAAAATTCTTCATTTCCAAATGCATTGAGTAATTCAAAACATTAAAAAGGACCCAGTTCATACTGCTTGGAGAAACAGCTTCAGTAGTTGGATACGTATAGTTAATCTCTCAGCCACAATAGCTTTAAGAATGTGTGTTTTCCATTAAAAGGGAAACCTTATTAGGAGAAGGCACAAAACAAAACAAAAAAAAATGATACTATATCCTTAATGTTCAGTCTATATTCCTCTTTTGGTCACGCCCACTAATCTAGCATCTCAAAAAAGAACCAAACCCCAAAATAAACGAAAAACAACCCCAAAAAAACCCAAATGAAAAAACCCAAACAACAAAAAACCAAACACACACCCAACCTTACAAACTCTTCTGTGCCCATCTGCTTCTTTCTGTATTTCTCCCCATTTTTTACTTTTTACAGTTCCCTCAAATTTTCTAATTCCAAGCACTTTTCTCAGGAATCATACGTGTCTCATTGGAAACCAGTAAAAGAGAAGAGCTATTCAATGTGTGTCACCTGGTCAATACCCCGTCCTTTGCATTGAAGAACAATGACTTCCAGGAGTTTTGCTGCATGGCACTCTGCATCTTCTCGTAAATCTCCTGTTAATACCTAACAACCAGAATGACAATGTAGTTTATCAGTATTAATCACTGACAACTTTGAAAGCACGTGCTCCTGTACATGCACACATCAAAAAAATCTCTAAATGGTATATACGTATCTATTCATGCCATATTTTGTGAGAAATTAAGCCACACCAAAAATCATCTCTGCAGGACATAAACAACGGTAAGTGGCTAAAGATTAATGTAAAAATGTAGAAGAAATTGCTATAGTTCTTTATGAATGATAGTATTCTTCGTATGTCATTGATTTATCTTTTTTAAATGAAATGTTACTTATAAGAATCACTGATGTCTTCCATATGCTGTTTCCATTTTGTGACTTCAATTCTAATAGACAATGGCAGATTAACAGTCTGGCAAAGTGAAGTCCTATCTCTAGGCTAGTTTCTGATTAAAAACAAGATGTATGGAATCACTCTATGAATATATGCATATATGTGAAACTGACTGCTTCTTCTCATTATGTTTCAACCCTATGGTCAGGGTCAATCAAACCTGACAAAGCAGCAGAATTCTCAAACACATTCAATCTCTCTGCTGTTCTGAAAAATAAGCAGGTAGCTAGATGTCACTCTATAATGCCCAAAATATGAGACAGGCTGCAGTGTGACTTCGTACTTTATTATACATGAGAGAATCAGCATAAAAAAGAAACATTATAAATGTAGGAAGAACTTCAAATGAGTTTGCACCTCAGCTGACAACTAGAAAACCCAATCGCAAGATACACAACCCAAAGAAATCAGGCTTCATTAATTCCTCTACTTACCAAAATAGCTGTTCATAGAAGAGAGTCAAGAGGAACAGCAACTTTCTCCCACACAGATTTGTGCATGTAATTTTTTAAAAAGCATGTCACTTAAAAAACCTGTGAAGGTGCTATGTGTACTCAGAACTGAGCCGAGACCAAATTTCATTTCCTTCTGAAATGACTGGCCACCACCTGGCATGTTCAGGTCACTCGGCTAATGTGATCATTAAGTAACAGTGATAAACGTTAACAATAAGAAGCCTTACCTCTTTACACATAGCATAAATGATTTCTAAATGCTTTGGGTTAGACAGTAAAGTATCAGTGTCGACGGTCACGTAATTATGCAAGAGAGGCATCATTTCTGCAGAAGAGGGAGAGCAAAAGAGAAAAAAATTACAAACTAATCCATTTAAGTGCTAACAAGTGAGACTGCAGTCCTATAATGGGATTCATTAGCCCAGATTCTTGGACATGGCTGGAAATTCAAACTCTGCAAAAGTCTATTCTAGCAGAATTCTTCATAAAGCACACCACGCAGGTTGCATTCTCAGGAAACTAAACAGAACAGGATTATATTTTAATTCATTAATTCGTAATTTCACATTAACTTTGTATTTTTCAGCTTTCTTTGAGTTCAGGACCTCCTACAATAACAGATCACACTGACAGATTTGAAGACGCTTCTCCTGCTTAAGTATGCTCCCGTTACACTCCCACACTCAACAGACGCTCGGGGCATGACTCAAATACATGATCACTTGAAACCGAGACACTAAATGGAAGCCACCCTTATTAAGATGGGTTTCAGAGATGCATCCCCAAACAGTGGAAACATCAACAGAATAGAAGTGATCATACCTGCAAAGCACCCATACCAAACCTGCGGGAAAAACTCATATACAACACCTAAAAGCTGCCACATCTGAGGTGAAATCATCTGGCACGTCAGGCTGTAAGCCAAGGAGAGAATGTCTTCGTAAAACTCTGGAAAGGAGAAAAAATTTGAAGCAGGGTGCTTTTAAAAAACACTAAAGGTAGCTTGAAAATACCTTAAAATCTGAAACCAAGCCCCAAGTCATATTACAACTAGGAGACAACAATTAGTAGCAAAATCAATATGTAGTAAAATAATACAAATTGGAAAAAACTCTTAGACAGCCCTTATGTTGCCTATAGTTACAACATGCACAGTTTCTCATTATAAATACACACCAGAAAAATATATTACCAGCACATCAAAGTCATTGCATCTGAACAATTTACTGCAAAATATTTTTCTTTTCCCAACCTTTGTTTTTATTTAAAGGTCTTACAACAAAACTGTGTAGCTCTTTAGTGTAGGTTACTGATAAAGCAGTAATTTAATTGCAGACCATGTCCATAAAATACTAATGTAATTGTAGACATTGTCCTTTAACACAACTAGCTAGAACTATATTCAGAATTGCCTCTTCAGCTTTCACTGACCTTCAAAACATAATAATCAGCCTGACTAATGTACAAAAGGAGATCAGGAAAAACAAACCATAAGTGAAATTTAACATCTTTTTTTCTTTAACAAAACACACACACAAAAAGATGAAGTTCTATCCAGGAAGACAGTGTTGTTTGCACTAATTAATTTAAGAATTTTTTTTAAATGTAAAAATATGTAATGTTTTTCTAAAAATTATCTCTGAAACTTACCTATAACGCGTTTCTGCATAACAAGGCCTATGATCTGTAAACAAATGCTCTCGAGCTGTTGAGTTATCTGAAATGAAAATATAAAGCAGTTTATTTAAAAACCTAGAAATGAAAATTTAAATTTAAAAACTTAGTAATTTAATCAATGTCTTTCACTAATTCAGTTTGAGAAGTTCTTCAAAGCAAAAAGGCTTTTATCAATTTTTAAATACTGCATTAACAATCACACTCTTATGAAGTAAAGTCTCACTGATGTTAATACACAGATTTTCAATATGCAGTTTTGCTTTAAAACTTGTTATTTAGAGCATTTCTCTTTATTTAAAAAAAAACCTCTTATTTTATGGTTATTCCACACATCCTACCAAAAACTTTACCTGTTATTCCGGCTAGATAGAAAGTAATGATGATTACTACAGGTTATTACCACAGGTCATTCCTTGCAGACCTCATCTGGCAGGATGTCAGGCTTTCTGGGCTTGTTCTAGTGAATGGATCAAGTACGTGACCACAGATACACCCACTTATCTTCAGACACCTGACTCGGGAGCAACCATCCCCTAAACTCTCTCCATACTTAATGGTGAATTTCTAAGGATTTTTTTTTTTCCTAAGGAAAGGAATTTCTAAGGAGTTCTCAGCCTCATATATAATTTCTATATAATTTCTATCACTTCTAAAGTGATTTAAGATCCTGAGATGAAGAGCACTCGGCACAATATTTTAGTTTGTGCTTCACATAACAAAAAACCAAGCTGCTAAGTTTACGCCAAAAATATCCCAACCCCAAAGGCCTTCCTAGGCTAAAACCTGAAGATGCACTTCAGATGATCATTCCTGATACTCAGCTCAGCTACCAGATTTCATTTTAGCTTTCAAAACACGCAAGGGGTTCTTGTAAAAGGAATGAAAAATGTTCTGAAATCCAAAGGAACACAATGGTCTTACAAGAAAATGGTTAGTATTTTAATTAATGTATTTTTAAAAATATAAGCTTCATTGCTTCACTCACAATGAAACTTTCCCATTGTAAATCAAGGAAGCAAAAAAAATCAAGGACAAAGCACTTTTACGCCAACTGAGTTTAAGTTACCAACTGACTTTGCCTCTCTGGTCAGTCACTTAACTCCTTCCTACCTCAGTCAGCCCTGGTGCTATTGAGCAGAAAGAATCTCTTTCTTCACTGAATATGTGAAATGTAAGCTTAAATTACACAACTGGTGGACCAATTCCTAGGAATTCTACCCAAGAAATTGATGGCTAAACAACTAAATATGAGTCACCATTGTAAAAAATTAGCCTTACGCAAAATTTTTCTCCCTAAAATCTATTTTAACAGTCTGTAAAACAATTATCCAATGAAGTGTTTAACAGAATAAGGGCTAAGGATTTTACCCTCAGGAAATAAATTCCCCTTGAAGTTGAGAGCGAAACAATTAAGAAAAGACAGAAGTAAACTGGGCTTTAAATTCAAATTTGTCAGAGATCACTTGGTACTAATTCACCATCCTGCTATAGCAAATGCACGTTCATGTCAACTCAAGCGATGCAACACACATAGAAGTGCTTGTTGCGAATGAAAGGCACGAGGGAACAGCAGTATAAAAGAAAATCTCACCTCCTTGTGATCTTCCACAACTGTCAGGATAGTGTCAATGGTGTGCAAGATGTCCGTGGCCATAGCTCCTTTGTCTTGGTCTTCATCTTGTTCATCATTCTGAATTATTTTACCAAATATTTCAGCCTATGAAAAAAAAAACGAGCAACTTGACATTCAAGAGCAAACTCACATTTCTAATTTGTCGTGCAAAACCAAGACAGCTAACGCAACAGCAGCAATGCCTTATCTGTAAGAGCTGTCAGCCCTGAAAAATATGCTCCTTACTTCTGAAAGCGGAATACGGAAAATTGAAAACTCCTCTTTCTTTGAGAAGTCTGGCTACAACAAGCCATTTGAAATGTTAAATGGTTAGAGCTTGGCTCATTAAAAGCAGTGACAAAATTCAGTATCTTTCAAAAACCTACAGGTTTTAAAGATGCTGCGTACAGAAAAAAATATATTGTGACACTATAGGTGGACCTTTGTAAAGATTGCTTTAAACTGTGTGCACAACAAACCAATTTAATTAAATGTTTACTGCACTAGGCATGCGCTTTTGACCGGACTGTTACTTTACAACCATCTCTTACCAGGTGCTGAGTCATGTCAACAGCAATGGTAGCTACTTCCTGGCTGTACTCGCAGATCATCTTCTGGATTACATTAGTAAGATCATCATTTTCCGTCTCTCTAACAACGTGCAAGAGCTCTTGCATAACTGGCCTTACATAGGGCTTCATATATTCCTTGGCTAAAAAAACAAGTGAAATTAGGTGAAATCGATTATCCATAAACGCAATTGCACAGTGCCTCAAAACTACTAGGTAACTGACTACTCTTTTTTTTTAAGCTTAATTCATCAAAAAACCCCAACCGAAAAACCTACCTAAGGCACTTTTGCAGCCAATAACCAGTAGACTAACAAAGTAAATAAATTGTACATCTGCCACTTTCAATACTGAAATGCCATCTACAGCAAAAATCTGCTGGTTTGGGGGAACACATGCCCTCACACATAGGCAGCATCCATTCTTAAACATACTATTTCACTTCACTAAAGAAAAACAAAGACAGCTGCTATTTACTTTATTAAAGGGTATATATTGATTCTAACGCTTTTTGTGCAGAGACCTGCCTTAAAAACTTGGCAGACAGAATTCTGGGATGTATACAGTAACTGATGAGCAAGTGACACTCTCTAAACATGATGTAATGTTTTTGAAATCTATGTCTTAAATGGCAGAAATATTTAGATAAATCTGCACCAACCTCCTGATCTCTAAAAAAATATAAATAAATAAATAATCAGTGTATACAACTGATGAATCACTGTAGCATACCTTGCTCTTGGTTGCTTATTAACATCTGAAGAGCTATGGCTGCTTCTACTTTTACAGGCATTTCCTTATCATCAATCAGGCTCTTCTTGGCCAACTCTACTGCATTCCTCAAGTTTAGCTCATTGTGAAATTTCAAAGCACTGAAGGAATGAAGTACCCAACAGGACTGCATGACAAAAAGAAAAGCAAGTTAGGAATTACTGCAACTTTTAGCATTTTTTAACTGATTCAAAACCAATGCTAACTATCTCTATGTTTGCATGTATTGCTTTTTTTTCTTAATTATGGTGTATTCATATGCTAACATCTAACACAGTTTTTGCACTCAAGCAGTTCTTTATTTTTCTTTACCAAATTCCAATAAATTAAGTATGCACATAATTGGCATTAACAGTTTTGGTCCTTATGGGGGGGGAAAAAAGTCAGAAGAGAAATTAAAGAAAACTGTTTGGTTATAACTGATATGGGCAGTTAGGGATTTTCTTCAAGTTACACTCAAACTGACCCTGTGGAAATCCTACCTATTCTTCACAGCCACCCAACCACTCTAGTTATTGAGATCTGCTATGAAAACTGGTCACAATGGGGCCACAACCAGTGCTCAAATTCTCCAGTCTGATCAAAGAGGTAAACAATAATATGATACAGACTTTCCGTCAATTCACTTAACTGACAAATAATTTATTCAAAGTGCTGAAAAAATCACTGCCCTGAGTAGTTACTTGAAATTTTACTATATATTTGCTTTATTTCTTTCATTGACATTCAGAATGAAGTGAAAATTCAAAGGAAAGAATCATGGCAAATGCTGAAATTGATATAACTGGGGAACTTACTCTAGCTCTGAGGTACCCCAGGTTAGACATGAACAATGGAAAGACATGATTCTGTAACGTCAGCTCCATTTGATCCTTGAAGACACTCTTCTGTTGGTGTAAACAGAAATTTGGAGACCATTCATTTTACATAGTTCATTCTAGCCAGCAATCCATTGCAACTATCAGCCATGAGAAACACAATGATTTGCCTATGTAATAAAGGTATTCTCTCATGAAGAGATCTAGATCATGCACATTGCCCTGACCACACCTCATAAGAACAGCAAGTTCAATGCTAGGTAAGTGAAAGAACAGTACATGTAACATTCAATTCTATATTACTCATTACAATACTGTAAACTGGAATTTGCTTTTTCTTTAAGGCAACTGATTCCAGACATTTTTTCTTAAAACTTAATTAGGATCAATGACCTAGTACCTCCATTCTTCCTACAAAGGAGTACATACACAGCTGAAGACAAATATAAACTTAGTATGAAGCAGATCAGAGTTTCAAATGACCTACTGTTACTGTAAGTATTAAAACTCATTATTTTACACACTACAACAATAACTCACATCTTTTTTTTTTTTTTCCATGTTTATTAATGGACTAAGATAATTCCTTTGTGATAGAAATTTCCTTGGCTGAAGAAGGATATCTGATAAAAACTATCCTTCATTATTCCAACCTTGACAAATCCCAAGATATTCACAGGAAGCCAGGAACCACCAACATGGAGATGGAGACTTGGGACTTTCCTAGTACCTACAGCCCCAGGACAATAGAAAAGATACATGCTGGGGACCACGTTACCATCTAAAGGAATGATTCAGTGGCTAAGAGAGGAAGAGGGCAAAGGGGACATTGAATATGAAATATATCTTAGGTGATCACACTTCTACTTCACCAATGCATACATCACTTTTTCCCAAATACATCACTGATTCCCAAACCTTCAGAGAGACAGATGAAGAACTGAGCAGAGAAAAGCACAGAGAAGGGAAAAGAATTTTCCCTTGTGCACACAGGTCAGAAGATTGCATGCATTAAACTGGAGCCACTGTGGAGAGCCAGGTGGCTCAGGCAGGGTCATTGTGTCTATGAGCTCCTCACAATCCGTATCTCAGTCAGCTCACCAGCCAGAAAGCCCTTATAAACAGAGTATTTAATGCAGAAACAGTTCATGGAATTTTTCAATCTGCCAAATCCCAAACACAAGAAATTCAGAGTTGAGAGCAGTCTGCAGTGTTTGGGGATTATGACTCTTTTATAAAAGTATATTATACCCTCATGTTTCAAGACTGAAAATTTTCAATAAGAGCAATATACTGGCATAACCCCCCTTTTTTTTTCTGCAGGACAGAGATAAATAGGTTTAGAAGCCCACAGTCAATATGAAAGGCTCATCACAACATGAACAATGGCCTCCTCTTTCACTGCTATACTCCAGCACAAGGAAGGGAAGTTACAATGCAACATAATTACAAAAATTCTGCAAAAGTTACTGATGTGTCAGGATCTCAGATCAGATCAGATTGGTACATTGGTAAAAAATAAATGTTAAATGTTGGTAAGATGTGCCTTGTACTATGAAGACACATCCTGCACAGAGGCAGACGAACTCACATAAAATAAGTTACTTTAAAAAGGAAGCCTCCAGCACAAGGCCACCATTCTCATGCTGAAAGTGATACCCTTTTGGCAGTTCCTTTTGACATGGAGAGAGGGCATATCTCGGACTCCACCATCTACAAAAGCTTAAGGGAAACTGTAACCAAGATAACATTACAGAGCAACAGTGTGGATTAAATATGTATTCAAATTCCAGAAAAATACTCAAAATTCTGAAAATACTGCCTATAAAGAATGGAGGAAAGATAGAAACTCTGTGCTCTTTCCAGTTATTTTCAAAACTCCCAGTTGGCTGATGAAATAGGACTTACAGCCACACATTGTAGGGTAAGAAAGCTGGAAAGCTAGACAAAACATTCCTGCAACATGTTAAGCAAACATTTTTCTGGAACCAGAAGCCGCCCACAATCGTACAGGCTGTTGGGAGGGTTTGCTAAAGAATCACAGGCGATGTTATCGATGGAATGCATGTTTGCTTTCTTAACACACTTCCATTTTACTAGTAAAGCAGGAGAGGACCAAGGGACTGCTCCGTAGCAAACAAACAGCGCTTTGGAGAAACTTGAGAAGAAAAATCTGCAAATAAAAGGGAATATAAAAAACAGGAAAGAAGGCCAATATTTTTAAAGAAACAAACCCTCAGATTCTTATTGCACAGAGCAGTCTCTCTAAAGACTTTATAAATATGGCTAAGAGCTAGCCATACTTTATAGCTAAGACTTTTTTATTGGAAATGGCAGTTGATACTAAGAATTACAAACCTTTTTCAGTTCTTTACCCACTTACCTTCAGTAAAATATCTGCTAGGGATCCTATAACATGCAGAGCTCCATCTTTTTTCCTTGGATCAATATTTGGGTCTGTCAGAATCTCATAGCAATATGCCATAGTTTTTGGTAATACCTAGGCAAGACAGAAAACATGCAACCTCCTTTTGTCAAATTATTTTAATAGCACTGTTTAAGTCAAAATATTCACATGGCATTTTTAAGAATAGATTTTATCTTGGCCAAAGCAACTGTGAGGTACTACATGTGCAATCTTTCCATAGTTAAAATACAGAAGGTTCCTTTTTCAACTTTTCAGCCAAACTTGTCAAAATTAAATTAATCACATTAGTAATAGTAAATAAGGCATTTTTTGCCGTCTTGAGGCAAATCAAAAAAGGTGACAAAAAGCCAAGAGGCTCTAATAGTAAGTACCTCATGCATTTTTTTTCCCCTTAAGTTCTCTTCTGGCTTGTCTCACACATATATAAATACGTGCGTGTGTATACATATATGTATGAACATACACACATTCAAGAACAGCTTGGAATAAAACCTCATAAACTTATATTAGTCTAATGATTTTGGCAGTAGCTTCTAAAGTTGACTAGACTTAGAAAGGCTTCTTGGCAAAACCAATTGTTTAATGTCATTTCCACACCCATTATGTACTTTTCAGATATGTTTTGATGGTCTCAGTAAAGATTATAAAAATGAGGTCAGTGAGCAAGGACTGTTTTGACAACAGAAAAGTAGAAAGGTCACAGGCTATTCCACCTGATGTAAAAATCCACCTGGGAACAGAGCTCCGTATTTACTGGATCTTAAAATGGTACCCAGGAAAAAATTTTGCAGTTCTAGCAAACCGACGCGCTTTCCTGGGCTCGGATGGGTGCTTTTGCACAGATCAATATAAGTACAGAAAGATCTACAGAAAAGTTATGTCCTCATTTAAAGAGCGGCTGTATGAAATTGATTTCGTTTTTGCTAATTTCACTGCTGTCAACAGGATTTTAAATAGCATCAGTGAAAATTAATAAGGATCAGGTTCACTTTTCCCCTACTGCTACAGTTTGGGAAGCTCAAAACAGCCGTGACAGAGGCTGTTTGTAAACTTGGGAAAATACCAGTACATCTGTTACAACTCAGTTTGTATTCGGCAGGTTAATTTTAAAACTGCAAGAGGAACCCACTTATTTATTTATTTATACATAAACACATATTTTAATAGTCCCAAAATTGATAGCACACAGCCAGGAAAACATTTGACTATGTATTAGCAAGTAGATTTTTCAAGACTTGCTTCCTGTAGCATCTTTAAATTTAAGAGGAAATGACATTATTAAGGAAACTTCAAATCATTAAAACCCGCTATTTCCATACCTCTTTTCTCTTCTTCGCAGCGGTATAAAGGAGATTCTGTGCTGCTGTTGTAGTACATGCATAATCCTCAAATACATCTAACAAATTAAAGAAAAAAAAGGCAAAAGAAAAATATTCCTTTTCTGAATGACATAATAATAATTTTTTTATAAACCATCTTGTTTGTAGGGTATCATAAAATCAGGAATTAGGGTTAATATTTAACTTCAAAACTATTAACACTGTTCTCTTCACGTTGTGGTTAAAGAGCCAGACCCAAGCTTATGTCACATAGCTTATACAAGCATTTACTTCACGTCTTCCAACTCTACTGACTATTTCATCATTTCCTTTATTAGGAATGTGTTATTTGTTCATTAATTCTTTGAGACCATGTTTTTAAGGGATGAAAAATCCTGGCTCTTTTTTTTTTTTTTTTTAAATTAAAACCACTATAGGAAGGACAACAATACATTCCAGTACCATCTGCATACCATATGTACACCATTTTGGCTTGATTTTATTAAAACCTCATGGGAAACTTTTTGTATGTAAAAACTCCTTGGACCTGGGGTAGTTTTAAATCTGCTGAAAGTCGAAGCTTTTTAGCTTCATTCATTACAAGTAAACCTCCTTTAATCATATTGAAAATATAATTTATATCTTGGAAAAAAAAGATCTGTGCTGCCAAACATGTTCTAATCCAAACATCCCCACACAAATTGAATTACATAAAAAGATCTAAAAGGTAATCTTAAAATGTGGTTGAAATTACACACTAACTTTTCCCGAGAACTTGAAGATAAAACATGATTAAGAAATACTACCAGACTACTGGAATTCTTGTTCCAAAGCCAAATGTGCCTCTCTAAAATTCAACTTAATATACTTTCATACTTGTTTTGGTTGTTTTAGCTTCCCCAATACCACTTAAATCAGTATTTAGCTGTCTCAGCTACATATAAAAATTAGATTCACTCCCCACACAGAAAGAACTGGATTCATATACCAAAAAAACAGCAGCGTGTTTGTACCCCAGTGTTCAACACTATATCATGATGAATTTTTTGCGTAACAACTCTCCAAGGTTTTTTAATTATTCTATGAATTTTTAAATTCTGTTTTCACATATGCTAATCCCAAATCAACTAATTAAAAAATCCCAAATGTTACATATCTCTGTGGTGCCCGCCTTACTGGAGTTTTGCAGCTAAATTCGCTATATTTTAAAGTACCCTTCTCTTTTTCAATGACAATGACTCTTTTAGTAATAGAAATTATTCATAATATGGTTCTGTGTGTTATTTTCAAGATTTTGCACTGCATCTTTTGAAAGAATACATATATCTAATTATCTTACAATTTAGTAATAATAATTGGCAAAAAAATGCTGAAGACATGAACAATTTTCAATAGGAAAGAGCAAGTCAGGCCTCTTCTGGTGAAAATGAGAGCTGCAAGAACTTGCAGACAGTTGGCACATCTGTAAGTCAGGACTCTGAAACTGGCATTAAAAAGTGAGCAAGCCAGTCTATTTGGGCTGCACTGAGCACATGTGAAGTAGAAAAAAACATTAAGAGAATCATTTAGTTTAAAGCTACCAGCCAAATGGCCAAAACTCACTTGATCTGCCTTCTTCTTTTAACTAGAGATTGGTGAGATTTAAGAAACAGATTTTCTTCTTCCTATTGTTCAGGACACTGGTGAAGACAGAGACATTACAGTGGCCATGCTGTTAATTGAGACTACAGTGTACAGTTATGATGAAAGCATAAAATAAATGCTAAACATAAACATTTACCAAATTTCATGCGGATATATTCATAAGGATCCTCTTGCCAGAGCTCTTCATCCTCATCTTTGTAGCACATTAGAGGGAATATGACTTCTTCTGTTATACTCTAATATTAGGGAAGTCAAATACACGTAAGTGCACATAAAATCAAATCCCTCCACCATGCACTAATTTACTAGACTTACTTTGCTGAAGAGGTTTTTTAAAAAAGCACTTTTAACAAGTGCTTTTTTAATTTGCTAACAGAAGTAAACTGAAAATATATATACTTTCCTTTTGCAGCAGTCCCAGACAGCAGTAATTACTTAATCTAACTTTATATTAATGCAGTACCACACACAAAATGTACTTCAGGATATAGCCTATAAACAGTAGAACATCACATTCTGCAGAAGGATCTCACCAATGCAACACTTGAAACATGTGAACACATTTCAGAGTCCTTCCTCTTAACACTCATGGGATTAACTAAGTACAACAGGGGAGTTTATGATGTGAAAAAATAAAAGCATGAAAATCACTTTTCATTTGTTCTCAGTTCACTTATGAAACATGTCCTTAAAAGAGAGTTCAGTTCCTTATATTTCACGTTCTCTTTGCCTGCTATATTTGCACAACAACCAATTATGAATTTCTAAATCTATAGATAATTCTGAACACTACCAACTAATAAAAGCCAGAGCATTATGACTTTCTGGCAGACTTCAAAAATAAGAAACAAGGAACTTAAGGAGATAAATCTTTAATTAAGTAAACAGTATCTGTAATAAGAGTTGTGACACTGGAAAAAAACCCTATCACATTAATGTAGAAATGTTGTTTTCTGCTCAGATCCACTGGTGCATGAAAGATTCATGAAACCTTCTTTAAAACTGCAAAACTGGTGGGGAATTCTGGAGGTTTTTTTAATCACCCTGATGACATGCAGTGTTTATGACTGGGTTTTATACACTGACCTTCATGTGTGGCTTCATTTGCTTCCATGTTACAGAGTGAATAACCCCTTGGTTCAGATAATTTAACGTTAGCTGAAGAACACGTGGTGCAACATAGTCTTTTTGTCTGTATTGATCTAGGATTCTTAAGAGAACCTAAAGAAACGATAAATTGATATTTTTAAATGAAGACTGAAAATTCACTCTTATGCACAGACATGCAGTGAACATACATGAACAGATTAATTAGCTTTACAGCAGAGGTTCTAGCGTTAGTAACCGCTGTAATGCCTTTGATCCAAAAATCAGAAATCATATAAACATTAAGGAGCTAATTTTGCAAGCATTTCTATACATGTTTACCTTTACTACTAGCCCCACCATGTGATCACTTGTGATTGTGAACCAAAGATACACTTCAATATTCACAGGCTGACAGCTTACACAGGCCTCAGCAAAATTAGGAGCAGATAAGGAAAAGGCACAGTGAGATTTTCAAACTGGTTGGCTTCTAAATCCATTAGTGGTGTCTGTGTTCATTTTTTTAAGGACAGGCCCCTAAAGAAGACAAATTACTTTGGAAGAACAGTGATAAGAATAGAAATTCTAAACTAGGAAAGAAAAATAGGTTAGCACCTAAATCTGTGAATCAGAAGAGATGCAAAACCCTTAACTTCATTTATCTGTTGTACCCATCAGATAGTATCACCTAGCATGCTATCACAAACTCCATCACACAATGTTTCCTTAACATAAAGGCTTGTTCTACTAAGAAAAACCTACAGTATAAAGCTACAAATTTGCACTAATGGCAGATGAACTATTAAGCATTAACAAGTGTGTAGAACTGGTATGTACATGAATAAGAATAAAAGTCAAGGGCAATGTATAACAAAATATCAAATCTTGAAATTGAATATTGAAAAATGCTCTCCAGGTAGAAAACAGCTTTTATCGCTGTTCTCCAGACACCTTCTAATCTGCTTGTATCTTCCTGAAATTAAACAGTATCATTTACATTTTGTAGCAAAAGCACTTACTAAAGACTGGGCTGAAATTACACCCTTCTATGACAGGAGGCCTCTGTATCAACGGTTTTTGCTCTCAGCTATATCCAGAATGTTTACTTGTGATAATAATACCATTTTATCAGCACTCGCCTTTTCTAAGGATGTTCCTGCAGGGTTTTTTTGAATTGCTGAAAAATCATGTTATTATACCTAATTGTATGGCACTGAGTTCTAAAGAACTGCTCAATCACTATAAGGAAAACCTGTCTGACTCTGTCCATTTTTGTTTAACGAATAAACTTTGATACGAGCACACTGTTGAAGAAAACAATACATTTGTTCAGCCAAAATGATCTAATTCCCAAACAAATGAAGTGCACTTACCTCTTGTATGCCCACAGCGTAGGTTTTTAAAAAAAACTCTGAGAATTGGAAGTATTCTTTTGTTACATTTCCAGGACTTCCATACCTTGTAAAAGAAGAGGACACAGATACTTACATTGTGAGAAGTCTGCTGTGTCAGGAAAACACAGTACTTTCTAAAACACAAAGGATCCTGAGTAGCCTCCCATCTCCAAAGGAATCCTTTCCCACAGATTCCTTCCAAGTAATTATTTCCCATATAATGCCCCATTTCCCTTTTCTTAGATTCTCATAAAGTCCAATACTACAGACAAGCAAAGATAGCCACCTTTTTGTCACAAGCTCTGTAATTTCCATGTTTACGGATTTCTTTTCAAATCTTCCCCTGCCTTTATATTTGAGAATATGAGCACTCGTAGGTAGATGTAGTGACAACAGCAAAAAACAGTAAAAAAAAGAAAAAAAAAAGTTAAGAAAAAGTACTTCTCCTGTGGGGCTAATTTCTTACCATCTTAGAGAGTCAAATCATTTCACCAAGAGCTCAGACTTGTTGCTGTGTCACTGCAAGGTAGAGGACAGCAGCAGGAATACCTCTTCGGTGACCAAGATCTGTTTAAATCAACTAAACTCTCTTCTCTAATTGCACCTGAATTAACATCACAAATTTGTAACCCAAATTTAGTTTTTAATCAGTCTGTTAGCTTGTTACCGTTTAAAAAGACGAGCTACAATATGCAATGCCCACTTCTTGCATTTCCACCACACCAGCTCCGGTCTATCATCTTCATCAATTTGCAAAGTCTCCTATAAATAAAGAGATTTGTTTTAAATTAGCTGTGTGTATTGTTAAGAGAAACGACACTTTAAACATTCTTTGCTGAGTAGACTAATACAAATTCACAGCATCGACTAAAGCTTTGGTTAACAGTTACGTAACATTAAGGAACTTTCAAATACCTTAATTAGTGAATATAACTGCACATGTGCAATACTTGTACAATTCCTGTACTTTAATTTTCAAAATTATGCATATTTAAAAAACAGAAACTCTCACATATACTTGACTAAGCAGTGTTGTGCAACTGGCTTAAAAATAAAGCATGATACTAACTCCTCCAAATATGTACACCCTAACCATTTGCTAACAATATTAAGGTTGTGAAAAACAAATAACAAAACAAAAAAACCAAAACAATATTAATGTTGTGAAATAAATTTCTATAAACTTAGGAAATGACAGTTAATGTTGTACACACACACAAACAAAAATTTAATTCCTATTTTTATTTTGTTCAAGAAATATAACGACTGATGAAAGAAAAAGAGGAATGGAAACAAATGATGGCTTTGTGATGAGCTTTTGGTTCTTGTTTGAGAGAAACTGGCTAAAATATTTGGAAACTTCCAATATATCCCAGATTGGAGCTTAGATAGTGTCATTACCTCAGACAATGAAATTCTGACAGCTTACAGGATCTTCCTACGTTTCTGTCAGAAACACCTCTTATTCCAAGGACAAGAATCTTAACTAGATGACATCTTAAAAAAAATAACACTTTGAAAACCTTCACATTGACTGCTCCTCAAATGTCAACACACAAGTATCAGAAGTCTTTAGAGAACTAAAACTTACTGGAGGTACACTTCTATCAATGATAGTACGGAAGAACTCCATCCACTGAGTCATAGTCTGGTTATTCAGCAACTGGAGCGGCAAAACATACTGAAATAAAAACACAGTCATGAAATACTAATATTCTCTGAGAAAGGTAGAAGATGCTTCTACAGTAGTCACATTCTGAGGAAGATGAGGTTTTAAGTAAAATTAAAACTAATTAGGTTAGATATCAATACTGCTCTAATTGCATCCTTCTTGGCACAATTTACAGAGGAATTTCTGAGCAGATGGTATTTGAGAAAAGCTCCTTGGTCTGAGAGCTTGCTACTACTTTTTTTTTTTTTTCCCCCCTCTTCCTCACAAAAGCCCAGCTGACTTTTAGGGACGATGGCAGTAGCTATACTACAGGGCTTGGGTAAACCCCAAGTGAAACATATTCCTAATTACTACCTAGCTACTATCTAGTAAATCTTACTTCTCTACCAAATCCAAAGCAAAGTGACTATACTCAGGCAAGCTACTGAAAAGTAAAATAGGATCTCAGGGTCTTTTTAATCCTCCCCCTATCTAATAACAAGTTATTTTAGCTTTTTAACCCCCAGTAAGAATTTTCAGGCTGCCCCTTTTGTAGGATCTTGTTTTGTTTCTCATTCTCTAAAAGTAATTTGTCACCAAACTGATCCCTGTAAAAGCCAAACTCATCTCTGTCAAATGCATGTGCCTCGGTAAATAATTTCTGCCAGATCTTCAGAAGATAATAAGAAATGCTACCTAATGAAGTGCACTATTTGACAATTATACTACAATGTGCATTACCAGCACTTTCAGAGGCCAACCAGCACAGTCTAGATACCCATACAGTTTACATCAGGTTATGTGTGACTTTATAAAAATAGGAATATTTCTCCAGCAAGCTTATAGAGAAGATGTGCCCAGGTTCATAAAAAAAAAAATAATCTGGGGGATCATGTGACCAGTTTTAAAGTAGAAGAATCTATAAAGATAATATTTTTATAAAAGCTGTTTATTGTTTATGACTTTTCCCATCCAAATTGGTGTTCATACTCAATCACACTCATGAGTGTACTGAAGTGTCGCTGTACCCAACAAAGTGAAAGTTTCAGTTTTCTTCTACACAGATGCCAACCTGAACAAAAGCATAGAAGATTTTTAAGATTTGCTTCTGAAGCAGTACAGAGTAATGGGAGTTATCAGGCAGAAGCTGGATCATCTGCTGCTGAATCCGAGGCAAAAATATTTGCATGGCTGCTATGAGAGGACCTTGCTCCTCTGCTTTTCTGCATCTGCAAAGGAAACAAAAACGTTGGTCCAGGATCTACACACTGGAGATTCTAATGCCTCACCAGCAATTTAATTTCTGTATCCTAAAGAAAATTAAATTAATTATCCAGCACTCACTCATTCGCTCTCCCCTTCTCTAGCCCCCATTCCAACAATCTGTGTAAATTCTCTAACTATTAAACCAATAAATGTTATATAAATGCAGCTACTGGGAGGAAAAACTAATGTTCTTTACTACTGAATTGTCAGCCCAGAGTAGCAGGCACTTGTATTTTTCTGACCTTCGTACCAATGCCAAACTCAAGCTGGGTGCTGAGCAAATAGGAGTGAACAGCAATTGAAAGGGAAAGACAATTCCTTTGTTTTGAAAAGATTTTCTCCATTTACATTTCTTTTGTGCAGTTTATACATATGTTTGTAACAACAGATAATTAAAAAAAAATGAGTGAGAGAGCACTCTACACTTCTCCTAATTTGCACTTTCCGGATTTAGACTACCAGGAGGATGGTACAGGTAACAATATGCAAGAGGAGTGTATAACAATGACAGTACTGTATTCATGATATAGAAGTAGAAAGTAATTTGCATTCATATATCCAGCATTTGGGGAATCTCCAAACAAAAGAAGCTATAATCATTTAGGACATTTTTCATAGACTGGTTAAATCAGATCAATAGTACAAAGCCTCAAGAAAAAATGTCAGTAAATTCTTACAGATTATTGCTGACATTTCTGCTTTCAGTTCACTGAACATACAAAGATGATTAATAGTTTTAATTTATTTGCAGGAAAGGATGCATATGACAATTATTAATTCCCATTTTCTACCTGAATTCCTCATAGAACTGCCAGCGTTCTTAAGAATGTCATTCTCAGTAATCAGCCGAGACTAAAAGTACCGATTCCTCATCTATGGATGGACATTAACTTACTCGTAATTCTTCACCAGCTCATACAGGCACAGGAGGCTCCCAAGCCAACTCCCACTGTTCTGAGACTGCAAGTAGTAGCCTATCTTGTCTACCACGGCTGTCCAATGGCCAGGAAAGTCATATGTAATGATAGCATGGAGGCAGCGTGCCAGCTGGGCTCTACAGCAGGAGGGAAAAAGAAATACATTAAAAGTAAATAAGATCACGGTATAGTGCTTAATATCAAAGGATAGATCCCAAATCTTGGTTTATTGGCCACAATATACATATTTTAACAGCACTGAAAGAGTTCTGGAAAGTAGCAAAGGAAAAGGAAGAAGAAAAAAACCCGGGGGATTGAGCTTTAAGGAAAAAACTAATTTCAGAATGTTTTAGTTACTTTCTCCCTTCCTCTTCCCTCTCCACACCCACCAGGCATTATTTGAAAACAATTAATTACTCATGAAACCAGCTAGCTTTGTACTTTGGAAATGAATGTTTATACTTCTACATGTTCATGAGGCTGAAAGCAACCACAAAAACACAAATTTGTACGTTTTTATTAAAAAATTAAAATCTGTTGTTAAAAATTGGTTTGCTTTATGATCCAAGCCAGAGGTTCCTCATGAAATTACAGTTTTCCTAGGATCTTCTGGAACACCACTTCTCAACCTCTGAAGCATATGGCAGAACCAATTCCATAAAAACAGCTTACCATTCCTCTCCCTCCACACACTTTTAGATGCCATTCACAATGGTGAGGGGCAAGGCAGGTCTGTTAATTTACTAAAATAGGGTGTGACTAAAAAAGCTGAGTGGCACTGAACTAGAAGCTGTAAATAAATACTCTCGGCCCTGCTTGGGAATAAAAATAATAAGAAAAAAAAAGTCTGCAGAAAATATTGGTTCTTCTAAATTTAGTTTTCCTTGAGTATCCTCTTGCAGCCCATTACATAAGGAGCCGCTATTGCAAAGCAGTTCAATAAGGGGCCCTCCACCTACTAAACCTTTTAGTTTTGTACAAACTTACCTTGCCCCTCAAGCCTTTGGAGTTTGTGCTTATTGCTGATGTGGTTCCTCATCACACTAATCCTAGTAAAGTTTCTTTGACTTTTTTAACCTCTGACAAATCTACAAGTTTAGCCAGTATTTACAAACCCTCTACTTTATTGCAGGTGATTGTCCCAGGGGTCTCAACAATCCTTTTAGATGTAGATTGTCACTGTAATGTCAGGGCATTTTGAATATCGGGTTATGAAATGATGCCTGAACTAGTTTGCAAAAAAAAAAAACCTCCACAAATTTCCATTATTTTGTGTTCTTTTGTATAAACTCAGCCTTGGTATTTATGGCATGACGGGAGGGGAAACGATATGCCTTTATCACATTATCACAGAAACAACACAAGCTTCCTTACCTTGTAGCACAACCTTGGCAAGGAGCAACTACTTCTTTCAGTGGGGATTCTAGACATCTGTGTCAGAGCATGCTAGAAAAGCTGAACTGGAAACGATGTTTTAGTTCATTTTCCTGTCTCAGTGCAGGATCTAAGCAGTCCTGGCAGGTGTTTGTCTAATCTATTCATAAAGACCTTCAGTGACAGCAAAGCTATAGCAGCCTAATACATTCTGATGTTTCATTATTTTTTTAAAGTGTTTTCCCTAATCCTAATTTCAATCCATAGCCAAGCACTCCTCCTCCAGATACGACTACTGAGAAAAAAAGACATCTTTGGGCACCTAGCTGGTGGAGAGGAAGAGGAGAGAAGAGGAAGATTTTCTTCTGTTTTACAAAGATGAACATCTATGCACTATGGCCTAATCCCATTCTATCAGCTTTACTTTAATTACAGTGGTGAACAATCAGAGATTGCAGTATGTCTGTGAATCCTAACTATTCTTCCAACAAAAAGAGAAGAGCGTTTTTTCATTCTTTTAACATCTTAAAACCAAGATTGGTAATATACATTTAGATACTAGGACTACATAAAAAATTGCAAAAGTAATTGAGAAAAGGGCTACTAGGGGAAAAAAAAAATAGATCTTGGGCAGTATTTCTCTGAACAGGTAATTCTGTACTGCAGATAGTCCTCTACCCTATCTGCTCTGAATCAGCCAAATAGGCTGTTGCTACAGCAAGTATTAGAACACACTTTAAACTACACCGTAAGAGGCCAAATCACATCATAGAGCTCTTAGCCAGGTTAATATATTTCTGAAAAACAAGTGCAAATAAATATGGTAGCATTGATTATTGTTACATTTCCAAAATAAGCACTTGCTTCAACTCCCAGGAAATTGAGATTCTCACATTAACTACATCCTGACTACCAGTCCGAAAACTTGAGCTACAGAAGTATCTCTATACGATATAAGGTACCTCAATAAGTCAGGAGAGCGAATTATTCCTTCTACAATGTTATCACGAATCTGCTGACGATCATTTTCATGAATGTTGAATGGAAATACCACTTCTCCAGGACGTGGTTCACGGTCCGCCCAGTACCATCCCACCATGTTCTTCAGGTAAATGGCAGCTAAGTACAAACAGTGGGGAGATAATCATTTCATTCTAACACATTTCCACATTACTCTGTGCTCAACATGTAGTACAGCTAAAAGTAGAACAAAAGGTTGAAAAGACTGAAAACCACTGCATGAGTTCTTAACAATTATAGGCACCAAGCACAGCTGACTCAGAAAATGAAGTTTTTTATGATTCCACACAAGATCAGGCTCAAGTGCCTGGTCCTAAACAGAACAGGATGGTATTTCAGTCAGCTTCTATTGGAGTACATTCTTTATTACAGCAGTCTTCCATATGGACATAATATTCCATCATTCTAAACAAGCAAACAAAAATCTACTTATCTGCATTTTTACTCTTCCCTAAAACTCAAATTCAGTAAGTGAAGTTTTGGAAGGCTCGTGTAAACAAATCATTGCTCACGCAGATGGGACACTCTGCTTGGGGAAATGCCCAGTATGAAACTGGCACATGGCCTACCTTCTATTCAGACAGAAATGTTTGTTGTGCATTCCCTCAGCTTTATCTCACTGTTAGGATTTCCCATAATCCCTTAGAGTTGCTCCCTTCTGTCTCACAGGAAAAAAAAACAAAAAATAAAGTTAATCTTCAACTGAAAGTAAAGCAGCATTTGTGCCTCAGTCCTTAAATGCCTGTAGGTATTCCTTAGGAAATGTAGGATATATGGTGTAAGACATTCTTAATAAAATCTTATCCTTGTACTATTTTGGTTGATTACCAGCTAGGGGTTTAAAGTATAAATAAGATATCCTTGGGTACAATAATTTTTCTTGCTGATGACAAATTGCAAAGTATGAAAACAGAAGCAAGAGGGAAAACAGTTGTTTATGACACGCCAGAGTATTCAGACAAGAAACAGGTCCAGAAAAAACAGCCCAAGACTTCAATTTACTTCGTCCATAGATTTGTTGTTATACAAATTCTTGGCTTTTAAAAAATTCCCAGGGAAATCTGTTGACTATACAAATGCAATATAAATGTGCTTTTCTATTTTATACCCCTACTCTGTAAAAAATAAAAAAAAAATTAAACAAAAAATGTAAAAATTATGTTCTACATACTTGGGTTTTTTTCCCTGAACAGTAATGAAATGAGAAACTAATTTATAAAAATAACTTTATGGAGTCCTAGATTAAGCATCAAACTTTAAACCATTCTGTAGTAACACCACCATTCAAAGTTGGATTATCTTTGAAAAAATAAATGCCAGCATGACAAACAGCATATGTCAGCATGCCCCAATGCACTCAGGGGATTAATAGGATCTGTACAAAAAAAAACCCAACGGTGCTTCTATGGGAAATGCTGCTCCATAGGATAAAAACAGAGCTCTGAAAGAACCAGTATTGTCATGGTTTAACCCCAGCTAACAACTAGGACCACATAGCCACTCATTCACTCCCCGCCTCCCCTCCCAGTAGGGTAGGGAGAAGAGGGAGAAAAGGAAGGGAAAGGGAAAAAACCTCAAGGGTTGAGATAAACACAGTTTAACAAAACAGTAACAGAAGAGGAAAATAACAACAACAACAATAATAGTAATGGCAAAAGCAAAATAAAGTGATACAAGTCACTCTTATCACGTAATGGCCAGCTGCCCAACCCATCCCGAGCAGCAATCGGGGATTCCTGCCCCCCGGCCAACCCTCATTTATATACTGAGCATTACACCTATGGTATGGAATACTCCTTTGGCCAGCCTGTCCTGTCTATGCTCCCTATCAGCTTCTATAGGAAGCTGAAAAAGACCTTGACTAATATAAACATTAGTTAGCAAGAACTAAAACAATGCCTTACTGACATTCTTCTCATACTAAAACCAAAACACAGCTGCTACTAGAAAGAAAATTAACTCTATCCCAGCTGAAACCAGAACAAGTATTCATCAATTTCTTGAAAAAGCTGAATGTTTTCTGTATCTGTCAAAAATATTATAGAAGAATAGTTAACATAGATAATGAGAATTTAGAACCTGATCTTACACAAATGTATATCCTAAAGTCAACTACATCACTACACGCAGTTGGGTGATCTTTCTAGACAGGCTCAGACCATCAATTCATAACCTATCAGTGATGTGACCTTCCTTCATATCTACATCTGTGAGTGGACATCATAGATACTAAGCGTATGTGGCTACCCTTGACCTAGGGAACAATGGGGTTTTTTCATTTTTTCAAAACTTTCATTTTTCCAGGAAGAGAGATACGCATTCAAATGAGATCCACTTTTTTTTAATTTCCCACTTGACTTGGCATCACTACTTCTTCACCTTCAGGAGAAAGAAAGAATACCTAAGGCTCCCTGGGTACCCAGTTTTAAGCAGAAATCATTCTCTTTTCATACCAGTATCACAGCAATCCAGTAGGGATCACTACAAACACAGAGGAGCCAAAGGAGGACTCTACCCTACACCCACGGTTTATCTGGCTCTCATGTAGGAAAGAAATGGCAAAGATAGAGCCTTTTCTGCATTCAGGACAAACACGAACTCACTTACATTGCAACAGCTCAATACTCTGTTGAAATAACCAAGAGACTGACTTTCTAATGAAAGAAAATTAAATGAGGAATTTATCTTACCTGCTTGACGCACTGGAAATTCAACTTCATCTGATACTATGATTTGCAGTAGTGTTGGAGCAAAATTGATGATCTTATAGGACTGAAATACATATAAAACACAGTTAGCAAATCACTATGAAGACAACTGTATTATCAAAAGCTGAACAAGAAACACAAACTGAGGATTTTGCAGTGTTCTTTGAGTCTCCTCATGAAGCATGAAATTATGAAAAACCCACTTGGATTTACCTAGATCTGCAGGAATCCAAATAATCACTTGTAAAAGCTGAGCACATAACAGCACATGGGTGGAATAAGTATCATGACTACGCTCTCTGTTAGAGATTAGTGATAATGAATATTTTAAAAAATTCTGAGACTCCATAATGAGAAGCACCACAAATCTGTCTTTGAATTATTTAACGTAGCCTCATAAGTCAAATGGATATTGACAGGCTTCATCAATATATACCATTTATTTGCAAAATAGATTGTGGTATAATAGCAATACTAGATTTTGAAGAGATTAAGAAAACCATTTAAAATTATTTTCAAGTGTAAACAGCATCTGCATCAGCTATTTATTACACAGCTATCTTTTAACAAACTAGATGTATATTTTCTATTTTATACCCCTACTCTGTAAAAAATAAAAAAAAAATTAAACAAAAAATGTAAAAATTATGTTCTACATACTTGGGTTTTTTTCCCTGAACAGTAATGAAATGAGAAACTAATTTATAAAAATAACTTTATGGAGTCCTAGATTAAGCATCAAACTTTAAACCATTCTGTAGTAACACCACCATTCAAAGTTGGATTATCTTTGAAAAAATAAATGCCAGCATGACAAACAGCATATGTCAGCATGCCCCAATGCACTCAGGGGATTAATAGGATCTGTACAAAAAAAAACCCAACGGTGCTTCTATGGGAAATGCTGCTCCATAGGATAAAAACAGAGCTCTGAAAGAACCAGTATTGTCATGGTTTAACCCCAGCTAACAACTAGGACCACATAGCCACTCATTCACTCCCCGCCTCCCCTCCCAGTAGGGTAGGGAGAAGAGGGAGAAAAGGAAGGGAAAGGGAAAAAACCTCAAGGGTTGAGATAAACACAGTTTAACAAAACAGTAACAGAAGAGGAAAATAACAACAACAACAATAATAGTAATGGCAAAAGCAAAATAAAGTGATACAAGTCACTCTTATCACGTAATGGCCAGCTGCCCAACCCATCCCGAGCAGCAATCGGGGATTCCTGCCCCCCGGCCAACCCTCATTTATATACTGAGCATTACACCTATGGTATGGAATACTCCTTTGGCCAGCCTGTCCTGTCTATGCTCCCTATCAGCTTCTATAGGAAGCTGAAAAAGACCTTGACTAATATAAACATTAGTTAGCAAGAACTAAAACAATGCCTTACTGACATTCTTCTCATACTAAAACCAAAACACAGCTGCTACTAGAAAGAAAATTAACTCTATCCCAGCTGAAACCAGAACAAGTATTCATCAATTTCTTGAAAAAGCTGAATGTTTTCTGTATCTGTCAAAAATATTATAGAAGAATAGTTAACATAGATAATGAGAATTTAGAACCTGATCTTACACAAATGTATATCCTAAAGTCAACTACATCACTACACGCAGTTGGGTGATCTTTCTAGACAGGCTCAGACCATCAATTCATAACCTATCAGTGATGTGACCTTCCTTCATATCTACATCTGTGAGTGGACATCATAGATACTAAGCGTATGTGGCTACCCTTGACCTAGGGAACAATGGGGTTTTTTCATTTTTTCAAAACTTTCATTTTTCCAGGAAGAGAGATACGCATTCAAATGAGATCCACTTTTTTTTAATTTCCCACTTGACTTGGCATCACTACTTCTTCACCTTCAGGAGAAAGAAAGAATACCTAAGGCTCCCTGGGTACCCAGTTTTAAGCAGAAATCATTCTCTTTTCATACCAGTATCACAGCAATCCAGTAGGGATCACTACAAACACAGAGGAGCCAAAGGAGGACTCTACCCTACACCCACGGTTTATCTGGCTCTCATGTAGGAAAGAAATGGCAAAGATAGAGCCTTTTCTGCATTCAGGACAAACACGAACTCACTTACATTGCAACAGCTCAATACTCTGTTGAAATAACCAAGAGACTGACTTTCTAATGAAAGAAAATTAAATGAGGAATTTATCTTACCTGCTTGACGCACTGGAAATTCAACTTCATCTGATACTATGATTTGCAGTAGTGTTGGAGCAAAATTGATGATCTTATAGGACTGAAATACATATAAAACACAGTTAAAGTAAAGCAGCATTTGTGCCTCAGTCCTTAAATGCCTGTAGGTATTCCTTAGGAAATGTAGGATATATGGTGTAAGACATTCTTAATAAAATCTTATCCTTGTACTATTTTGGTTGATTACCAGCTAGGGGTTTAAAGTATAAATAAGATATCCTTGGGTACAATAATTTTTCTTGCTGATGACAAATTGCAAAGTATGAAAACAGAAGCAAGAGGGAAAACAGTTGTTTATGACACGCCAGAGTATTCAGACAAGAAACAGGTCCAGAAAAAACAGCCCAAGACTTCAATTTACTTCGTCCATAGATTTGTTGTTATACAAATTCTTGGCTTTTAAAAAATTCCCAGGGAAATCTGTTGACTATACAAATGCAATATAAATGTGCTTTTCTATTTTATACCCCTACTCTGTAAAAAATAAAAAAAAAATTAAACAAAAAATGTAAAAATTATGTTCTACATACTTGGGTTTTTTTCCCTGAACAGTAATGAAATGAGAAACTAATTTATAAAAATAACTTTATGGAGTCCTAGATTAAGCATCAAACTTTAAACCATTCTGTAGTAACACCACCATTCAAAGTTGGATTATCTTTGAAAAAATAAATGCCAGCATGACAAACAGCATATGTCAGCATGCCCCAATGCACTCAGGGGATTAATAGGATCTGTACAAAAAAAAACCCAACGGTGCTTCTATGGGAAATGCTGCTCCATAGGATAAAAACAGAGCTCTGAAAGAACCAGTATTGTCATGGTTTAACCCCAGCTAACAACTAGGACCACATAGCCACTCATTCACTCCCCGCCTCCCCTCCCAGTAGGGTAGGGAGAAGAGGGAGAAAAGGAAGGGAAAGGGAAAAAACCTCAAGGGTTGAGATAAACACAGTTTAACAAAACAGTAACAGAAGAGGAAAATAACAACAACAACAATAATAGTAATGGCAAAAGCAAAATAAAGTGATACAAGTCACTCTTATCACGTAATGGCCAGCTGCCCAACCCATCCCGAGCAGCAATCGGGGATTCCTGCCCCCCGGCCAACCCTCATTTATATACTGAGCATTACACCTATGGTATGGAATACTCCTTTGGCCAGCCTGTCCTGTCTATGCTCCCTATCAGCTTCTATAGGAAGCTGAAAAAGACCTTGACTAATATAAACATTAGTTAGCAAGAACTAAAACAATGCCTTACTGACATTCTTCTCATACTAAAACCAAAACACAGCTGCTACTAGAAAGAAAATTAACTCTATCCCAGCTGAAACCAGAACAAGTATTCATCAATTTCTTGAAAAAGCTGAATGTTTTCTGTATCTGTCAAAAATATTATAGAAGAATAGTTAACATAGATAATGAGAATTTAGAACCTGATCTTACACAAATGTATATCCTAAAGTCAACTACATCACTACACGCAGTTGGGTGATCTTTCTAGACAGGCTCAGACCATCAATTCATAACCTATCAGTGATGTGACCTTCCTTCATATCTACATCTGTGAGTGGACATCATAGATACTAAGCGTATGTGGCTACCCTTGACCTAGGGAACAATGGGGTTTTTTCATTTTTTCAAAACTTTCATTTTTCCAGGAAGAGAGATACGCATTCAAATGAGATCCACTTTTTTTTAATTTCCCACTTGACTTGGCATCACTACTTCTTCACCTTCAGGAGAAAGAAAGAATACCTAAGGCTCCCTGGGTACCCAGTTTTAAGCAGAAATCATTCTCTTTTCATACCAGTATCACAGCAATCCAGTAGGGATCACTACAAACACAGAGGAGCCAAAGGAGGACTCTACCCTACACCCACGGTTTATCTGGCTCTCATGTAGGAAAGAAATGGCAAAGATAGAGCCTTTTCTGCATTCAGGACAAACACGAACTCACTTACATTGCAACAGCTCAATACTCTGTTGAAATAACCAAGAGACTGACTTTCTAATGAAAGAAAATTAAATGAGGAATTTATCTTACCTGCTTGACGCACTGGAAATTCAACTTCATCTGATACTATGATTTGCAGTAGTGTTGGAGCAAAATTGATGATCTTATAGGACTGAAATACATATAAAACACAGTTAGCAAATCACTATGAAGACAACTGTATTATCAAAAGCTGAACAAGAAACACAAACTGAGGATTTTGCAGTGTTCTTTGAGTCTCCTCATGAAGCATGAAATTATGAAAAACCCACTTGGATTTACCTAGATCTGCAGGAATCCAAATAATCACTTGTAAAAGCTGAGCACATAACAGCACATGGGTGGAATAAGTATCATGACTACGCTCTCTGTTAGAGATTAGTGATAATGAATATTTTAAAAAATTCTGAGACTCCATAATGAGAAGCACCACAAATCTGTCTTTGAATTATTTAACGTAGCCTCATAAGTCAAATGGATATTGACAGGCTTCATCAATATATACCATTTATTTGCAAAATAGATTGTGGTATAATAGCAATACTAGATTTTGAAGAGATTAAGAAAACCATTTAAAATTATTTTCAAGTGTAAACAGCATCTGCATTAGCTATTTATTACACAGCTATCTTTTAACAAACTAGATGTATAGAGCATCTTAACAGAAAAATAAAAACTGGGGAAACACAGCGGAATAACCATTTTAAATTAAAATCAAGCACAGACAGATAACATTTCAAAACCCACAGACTTCCTGGGAACTTTTCAAACATTACATCAGCCATGCAGCTGAAGAATTTCAAAGAGAAAACAATGCTCACTGAACTTCTGAGCAAAGCACACCAGATTTAAAAGATGTGAAAATCTGATACCATTATACTGCTGTCATTC